CGTGGGAGAAAGATGAGGCTTTCTGCTCTCATAAAGATTTGCAGCCTTGGAAACCCTGTACAAGGTCGCTATGAGTCAGAACTGTCTCCACGGCACACCACAACTATCACCACATCCATATGTATTAGTCAAGTTCATCAGATTGTAGCGATGTACACTTTGTTTTGTTTTGTTTTTCCTCTTTTCCTTCCTCTAGTCAGGTTCTGATCATTCAGCCATCGAAGCTAGGTCCAATAGGCACTATCTGCAAGTTTGGGCACCCTTGTGCATATCCCCTCACTTCCTATGAACTTTTCCATGAACTCTTTGAATCTGTCTCATACATACTAAACAGAAAGCACTTAGATTCTCTTTATTTACAGGTGACCTGATTGATTATGTGTTAAGATAACCCTAAAATAATGTATAGGTAAGCCATTATACTTTAGGAGATCACTTGATATAAAAATATGAAATTAGTTTTGTCATCCTCTGGTAGCATAGTGGTTATGAATCGAGCTGCTATCCTAAGAGTCAGCAGTTCGAAACTACCAGCTGTTCCACAGGAGAAAGATGAGGCTTTCTGCTCCCGTAAAGATTTACAGCCTCAGATGTACAGGATCACTATGAGTCGGAACCGACTCCACGGCACATAATAACAACAACAACAACCAGCAGTAAACAGAAAAAATGTCAGATGATTCTATTTTCAGTAGTATGAAAAATCTCAATCACATAGGAATAATTCTAGTGAAAAATGTCCAAATCGTCTCAGTGGATAAATGTAAATGTCCTTTAGATAAATTGAAATCCCAAACAATAGAGGAACATGAAACATCCACTGAATTCAGTATTGTATAAATGCCAGCCAATTTTTCCCAACTTGTTATTTATTTGGTGCAAACACAAGTTAAAATTCCAACAGGTTGTTGGCTGGCTGCTTGGTTTGGATTAAAACTGGAAAACAGACTTTAAAATTATAAAATGCAAAGAGACAAGAGGACTCCAATCAGTGTTGAAGAACAGAGTTGGACAATTGACCTCTGCCAGATAGAAAGGCACTTTACAAGTCGGCTATGCAGAAGCCCATGTTATTGACACAAGGCTAAACAAATAGGTCAACGGGAAAAAGAATGAGCTATAGACTCACTCATGGATGGATGGTGCATTTATTGTATCATCGAACAGACACACCAAATGGATTCTAGCCAATTGGACTGCTCAGTATGGGGTACTCTGTTGTTGTTAAGTGCCATAGAGTTGGTTCTGACCCATAGTGACCCTGTATAGGGTTTCTGAGGAGCGACTGGTTAGCTTGAACCACCAACCTTGTGGTTCAAACTGACTTTGCAGTCCAGCGCATCAACCCACAGCACTGCACCAGGACCCCATGGGGTACTCTAGTCACCTTTCAATGTTATATTATAGCTAAGTAATTAAATTGTTGTTGTTGTTATGTGCCATCGAGTCGGTTCCGACCCATAGCGACCCTGTACAGGGTTTCCGAGGGTGTAAATCTTTACGGGAGTAGAAAGCCTCATCTTTCTCCCGTGGAGCAGCTGGTAGTTTCGAACCGCTGACCTTAAGGTTCGCAGCCCGATTCGTAACCACTACGCTACCAGTGAATTAGATCCACTTAAATATGTTAAAAATATCTAAATATAATTATCATGAAAGTTAAATAAATATTCAGCTTCTCAGTGTCACTAGTTACATTTGAAGTGCCTGGTAGCCACTGTGGGGAGGAGAGAATGTATTGATCCCACAGAAGAAGAACATTTCCATCCTGGCATGAAATTACACTGGACACGGCCATGTCAGGCAGTCACAGTTTTATGTAGTAAAGCAAAGCAGAAAAGGGTAATACTATTAAATTGAGACAGGAGGTAATAGGTAATAGGAAGAGGAATCACTACTTAAAATTGGTCAGCCAAGGAAGACCAAACTGAGCTGGTGACATTTGGTGTAAGGGTTGAAGGCACTGAAGGCACCAGTTTCCTGAATATCTGGTGTAAGAACCTACAGGGCACAGGAAGTGAAAATGCAAAGGCCTGAGTCAGGAATTTACCAAGTGTGTGGTGTGTTCAGGAAACAGCAACCAATCTAGTGTGGGTGGAGTGTGGCCAATAAGGAGGGAGGAGTAGAAGAGCAAGAGAGTCACGTGGGGAGAGGGGAACGCCCCTGGGATCTTATACAGTGTTGTAAGGATGTCGGTTTTTACTATGAACACCATGTACCACCACTAGAGAGCTTTCAGCAGTGCTGTGGCACGGTCCACCTTCATTGAGTAGGATCATAATTGCCCCTGTGATGGGGAACACCATTCAGCCTGGGAGGGAGAGAGGAGAAAGAACCCTTTGGAGACCAATACAAGTAATGCAAGGATCCACTAGGAGTAGATGACAGCAGCTCCCCCAGGTTATACCAGTGTAGGTAGGGAAGGAGCTTGTTGTTACTAAGTGCTTGTTGTCGGTTCTGACTCATAGCTGCTGCATCTGGCATGGGCTATTCTCTGTGAACAGCACGGAGAGATTAAACTCAAGTAGGGGCGATGGGAGATTAGAAAGAAAAGGAAGACACAAGACACAAATATATTAAGTAAATTTGGGACCAGGTGGGATGCAGTGCTCTGATGGAGATACTGTGACCCAGACCAAGTGCAGCAAGTTTATTTTATACACATATCAAAAGAAGGTGCTTGAGGCGGGGAAAAGAGTGCAAGGATATATAGAGTTGTTTGTGCATGCATCTTCCGATAAAGCTTGGGACTTCATCGGAAGAAAGTAACTTGTGGTAGCTAAGGAAACAGAGATTAGAGCAGCTACATGTTTGTGCAGGCTGAGCTGAAGGCCATGGCTGTGTACAAGGAAAGACTTTACAAGTTGTTTGTTCTCTGAGACAGGATTTGCAAGTTCCTTATGGGGCAGCCTAACCTGGGTGCAGCCCGAGTTTCTGGACCACAAATGTTCCGTTGCAATCCTTCAGTTAAACTACCCCTAAGTCAGAGACCCTCGGCTCAGTCGCTACCAACAATAGCGACCCTGTATAGGGTTTCTGAGGAGCAACTGGTGGGTTTACACTGCCCACTTTGCAGTTAGAACTGACCTTGAGGTCAAGTGCTTATCCTATGATGTCACACCAGTTGGGGTGTGGGAAAATGAAAGAGTTAAAGATGGC